CGCTGATCTTATCTAGATAGACCTACAGAGATAATAATATGCACCAAAAACATGACAGACCAAAACAAAGCAACAAAAGAAAACAAAACAACAAAAAACCCAATGACAAAAAAGAAAAGAAAATCCTGCCGATTGTTTATCCTTTCAGAGAAACAACTTTTAGCAGCACTAATTTTCCCCCATAGTTTTCTTATTTTCCCTCTCCTGAATCTCAGCCCTGATTTTTATTATTTCTTTTCTTTTGCTATTAGTAGGTTTGTCCTGTTGACTCAGCTTTAGTTGCTGTAAATTTTGTGCCAGCATATCAATCATAAGTTTCTCTTCCTTTTTCATGTGTGCATGTATTCCTCTGAGACTTCCTCTGATAACTGCCTTTGCTGTGTCCCATAAATGTTGGTACATCATGTTCTCATTCTTGTTGATTTCTAGAAATTTCCCAAATTCATCTCTGATCTGTGCCAGTACACACTCCTTTTGCAAGAGAGTTATCATCCTCCAATTGTTTGTCCTTGTTTTCTTCATCTTCCTTTTGTTGATTTCCAGTCTTATGGCACAGAGGTCAGAGAGAGAGGTATGTATATCAATGAGGTTAAACTTACGCAAATTCATCTAATGCCCCAGCATGTGTTCTATCTTTGAATATGTGTCATGTGGACTTGAAAAGAATGTGAACTTTTTTGTATTTAGGTGAAGAGCTTTGTGCACATCTATCAGGTCAAATTGTCTAACTGTAATATTTAGATCTCTAGCCTCTTTGTTGAGTAAATGCCCTGGGCTAAGTGGCATGGCCTGGAGGTTGGCAGTGGTGTGTGAGATAAAAAGGAAAAGGGGAAAAAAAAAAAAAGAACAGCCCGCTGAGACTGTAGTGGGAAAGAGCGAAGAGTGAGAAACAAAAATAACAATATAGCTTAACCCCAATCCCTGACCCTGCGACTGGAGGGGTTTAAACCCTTCCCCAATTCGGCATCAAGCTGTGGCTGTGTTAAGATAAAGCCCTTGTGACGGCTCCAGATGATCCTGGCTGTGGCTGAGACAGTGGTGGGGCTAAGGCTAGACCCTAGCCAGCCTTCACTGTGGTAAGCCAAAGCCCCCAGCTCCTCAAAACCTTGTGGATATTTGCCTATTTATCTTTATGATACTCCTCCTGCGACCAGGCAATGTGCAATTTCCCCCTTAGTAACTCTTCTGCGCTGATTTCTGTGGAGTCCCTCTGGTATATGTTACTCAGTCATTAAGATAGTTAGTTTATTGTGCCAGCCTGACCAATAAACACATCTGGGATTAACTGAAGGACGGAGATACATGGCTTGGCGAGCCTCGCCTTACTTGTCTCTTGCTCTTTGATCATCGGACCAGTGTGTGGCTGCCTTGCTTGTTCTGTGCCTCAATTTGCAAGCTACACTACCTATGGGACTCCTAACCTCTGGACTGTGTCA